ACTCAGTTCTCAAACAAGCAAGAAGACTAAATAGACGTCATTAAGAACTATGTTTTGGATCTCTGTTAAGTTAATTATCTTTTGGAACTATGTTATGATGTATCGATGTAATGATGTCTTTTTGGATCTTTGTTAAGTTAGATGTCTTTTCTGAATTTTTCACAAATATACCACCTTTTTCCAATTTAAATACTAAACTACCATCACTTTCCCCATAAATACCAAAATACCATCTTTTCAAATAAAAAATAATATTTTAAAGTACATCTACCAATTGAATGGGCGAACCCTTCTATTTTTTATTATATTTTACTTTCATGTGGATTTTCTTAGGAAATAACAGTTTTTTGAAATTTCCTACGGATTTTGTTACAGAAATTACCTGCGAATTTTGTTATAGAGATTTTGTATTTATAAAAATCATATATTTGAAAAAATCCGCAGGTAATTCTATAAGAAAGAAATTTTGCAGGAAATTCTGCAGGTAAAATCCGCAGGTAAAAAATAAATAATTTAAAAAATAACAAATAATCGCCAAAGCAATGGACAGTTCAGTAACAAAAAAGTTTTTGTTTGAAAACATGGTAGTTTAGTAATAAGTGGGGGGAATATGTTATTTTAGGGAATAATTTGAAAAAAGATGGTATTTTAGTGCAAAACTTGTCTTTTGTTCCACAAATTCTTCTACTTCATTATGTTTTTGAGATCCACTTGAAGGTCTTCTAACCTTGCTTTTATGTATCAATTTTGCCTCTTTGATATTCATTATATTTTGTTAACATTTCCAATCTCTTTTTTTTTTTTTGCGTCATGATAAATAATATGTCTTTATCATATTTCACTTCATCATAATACCAAGCAAAATAATCACATCCAATTTTAGTATACCCTTTCGTGAATTTACAAAAACGTTACACAGAAACAGCTAAATGTGGACATAAAAAACACTGCCAAATTAAAATTGAAAGATTAGAAGACAAATCATACTTTATAATGTGAACATCCCCAAATTTCTTCCCAAAATTATTAACTATTGTTCTAAACACATCAAAGTTTCCACATAAACAACTAGGACCCCATTGCTTCTTTGAAGAAGATGAATAACCCGTGGATTTTGAAATGTTACTCTCTTTTCCATCATTATCAAAATCTTTTGGAAATGGATACGAGCTTGAAGACTTCATACTTTTACTTTGTTCTAGAATTGGAGATGCCCTAATTCGTACTATGAGCCCTAAAATGTAAAGTTGAAGAATAAAAATTTGGTTACTCGATGGGGATGCAGAAGAAGAAGATGAATGAACTCTAATATCATAGGTTGAAGAAGAAGAACATTGAAATTGGCTCAAAAGGATTTCGAGTGGCTCAGAAAGCTTATAATGTGTGATCTTATGTGGCAACCACATCCTACTCACTAGGACAAAACGTTAAAAAATTAACAATGTTTAACGCAAATGGCTCAGAATGATAAACTTATATCAATTTGAGGGATAAAATTGCCTGTTTTTAAAATTAAGGGACCAATATGAATCCTGACCTAAAGATATGGGACAAAAAAGATATTAAACCTTATATCAATTTGTTGTAGTTACCAATTATGAGTCATTGCCAAAGTAAGAAAAACTCTAGTGGTGGCAGGCTTCATAACATGTGAGAATGTTTCATTAAAATAAAACCAAATTGTTGATGATAACCTTTTGCAACAAGTCGGACTTTGTATTTACTTTAGAAGAACCAAACACCTCAAAATCATTCTAGAATCAATTATATACCTCTAGAATTGCTTTTGGCTCTTCCAAAAACCAAACCAAACATTCTAAAAATCTCTCCCTTCCTTTTTGTGATAATGATGGATTATCTTACCAGATCCCTTGACCAACTGATGAAGAACCTCAACTTCAATTATCATTCTAAATGTGAAAAGTTGCACATTACAAGTTTGCCTTTTGTTGATGATCTCATTATCTTTGCTAAAGGATAAAAAACTTCTATTGAGCTCATGATGGAACAATTTAACAAGTTCTCTGCCTATACTGGATTAAAGGTGATTCCTTGGAAGTGCAATATCTACTTTGGAGTTGTAGATGAAACAATCAGAGAAGATATCAAGAAGATCATTGTGTTTAGAGAAGGGAATACCTTTTAGATACTTGGGAGTGCCTTTAACTAGCAAAGTACTTTTTATCCATCACTATGACTGCTTAATTGAAAAAATAGTGGGAAGAATCACTTACTGGAGCTCTAGGATGTGTAGTTCTGCATGTAGAGTACGACTCATATAAAGTGTGATTTTTGCTATAAAAAATCTGAGTGCAATGTGTGCCTTTACCCAAAGCCGTTATCAAAAGAATTGAGGCAATTTACAGGAGCTTCATTTGGACTGGTAGCAAGGAGATCAGTAGGAAAGCCCTAATCTCCTAGGAACAAGTTTGTTTCCACAAACACCATGGTGGTCTGAATATAATTGAGTCGGGTGTTTGGAATCAAGCACACCTTATCAAAATGTTATGGAACTTAAATGGTAGGAAGGAGACTACTTGAAGAATGAGGACTTGATGAATGGTGAAATCAAGAAAAGCTGCTCATAGGTGTTAAAAAAATATTCTTCAGGTGAGGAATAAAGTGCACAAAAATTAAGCTTGGACTAGCATGAGGCAGAGGAACAAGTTTGATATGAAGATGATGTATCTAGCTTTGAAAGAGGATAATCAAGAGGTTGGCTAGAAAAAGCTTTTTGTGGCAATTTGGCGCGGCCTAAAGACCAATTTGTGCTTTGACTTGCTTGCCATGAGAGGCTTGCTAGCTGTGACATGCTCCATAAATTTGGGATAACTAAAACACTTCTTGTTATTTTTGCAATTAGGTTGAAACCACGTAACGTTTGTTCTTTGGGTGCAATACCTTGAAGAATATTTGGAGGAAGGTATTAGATCATATCAAGATCAAGCATGAACCTGATGAATGGAAAGAAGAGTTGAATTGGTTGATAACCAAAGGCAAGGGGAAAAGCTTGAAGGCAATGATGATCAAGTTGTCTGTTATAGAAATTATATATGCAGTTTGGAGATATAGGAATGATAGGTGTTTCAATAAAGATGTAAATAATAACATAGAGCACAATATTATAAATAACATTATCTATAGGGGGTGGGCTAACTTGAAACTTAGGAAACACATTGCTAAAATGATGATGGTGTAATCTCCTTTGTTTGCTAGTTTCCTTTGTCTTTTTTTTTTTTAATTTCTTTGCGGGCTGAATCCTATTTGATCGCCTTGTATAATTATTGTTTTTTTAATTAATCAATTAATTTTAATTAAAAAAACATGCTAAAAATCAATTCTCGTTACTGCATAACCAAACACATTTTGTTATATCTTCAATATGCAACTTTGGTCCCCCCCCCCCTTATTTTCCTTTTTTTTTCAATTTCGATCATTCCATTTCAAAATATGAGTTTTTAGTCCCCTTTTAATATTTTTTTTTAAAGATTTTAACCCCTCCTCCTAATTTGAGACCAAATTTTAATGACATGGCATGAACGCGATGACGTGTCATTGACACATATTCAAAATTTAAATCCATGTCATTTAAAATTATTGTTTATTTTATTAATAATAAATTTATACTATTTAAAAAATAAAATAAATTTAAATTAATAAAACATTAATCATCTTTAATTCTACACCTATATCCCTCTTCAATTACACACACAAAATCCTAAATATAACCAAAAAAATCTTAAACACAAGTTCATGGCATTATAAATTTTTGTTAAGGGTAGACTTATTTACATGAGCAACACCCAATTTTTAAAAAACATAATTATAATCCAAACATCAATAGAGGTCCATTTTATCATAACAACGCATATTTGATTCTCTTGATGTTTAGATTATGATTTTATTTTTTTAAAATTAAGTGCTGCTCATATAAATAAATTTATCATTGATCAAAATTAGAATGTCATGAAATTGTGTGTTCAATATTTTTCTTATTTTTTAAGGTTTTGACTGTGTTGAAGAGGAGTCTGGGTATAGAATTCAAAGATGATAAATATTTTTTTAATTTAAATTTATTTTGTTTTAAATAAAATAAATTATATTTTAATAAAATAAATAATAATTTTAAGTGTATATAAAAATTTTATAGATGTGATAATGACATGTCATCACGCTCATGCCATGTCATTAAAATTTGATCTGAAATTGAGAAGAGAACTAAAATCTTTAGAAAAAAATAAACTTTAAAAAGGAATTAAAAATCCAGATTTTAAAATAGAGAGACAAAAAAAATAGACTAAAGTTTCAATTAAACCTATTTTTTTACTATTGCCTTCCCCTTTTTTTTTGTCCATTTGAAACTTTTTTTTTGTTTGGGGATTTGCATTTTCTACAACAACATACTTCGTAAGGTCAAAGTATTAGTGAATTTTGATATAGTAAAAGTTGTTATGATAAAACCAATTCAATTAATTATTCAATTTTCAATCAAATTTTCAGCTACCATGCATCATGTGGCTAGTAAACTAAAAACCGTGGAGATTCAACTTGTCTTGGTGTTGTCACCGTGTATGTTTGATTTTGGTTATCATTTTAAATAATCTTCTCTAAATTGTTTTTATTTTAACCCAGTTCCATTGATTGACTATAGTTTGCACTTCATCTATGTTTGATGATTTTATCTCTAGTTGGAGGGTTGATGAAAATCATACATAAACTTATGTGAGTTCTATTCTTAAACGCATTCATTCTCTAAAGAAATAATGATTGCAAAGATGTGAAATGAATCAAATTGCATGAAATAATTTGGCTATTATCTAATGAGAATTAGTGATATTTTCTTTTGAATCATTCACAACATGTTTATTAGTGGAGAAATATAGCCACAACAATGTAAAAGTAAAATGTAGGGTATGACAAAGGTGAGTCTAAAATTTCGAAATTTATTATATTCCATATATGAAAGTATAGAATAAGTATTAAGAGAGCGAGAATTCAATTCAAGTGTAGAAACCATAGGACTTGGCATTGAGTATGATCTGTCTTAATGCACCTATTGGTGAAAGAATCATCAAAAGGAGGCCAAGTATAATGCAGATCTGAAAACAATTAAGCCCAATTAATAAATGTTTCAAATTTTAACTTCAAAATCTATCAATTAAAATTGAACTTACCCAGTTGGTGAACCAGGACAAGCTAAACTTCTTTGGTTTGTAAATAGCAAGCCACATAATGCAGGGAAGCTATACAATAACATTATTATATATCAAATCATACACTCCTCCAAAATATATTAGAAACAAAAACAAAATCGAGACTTATCCAAAATATATTAGAAACAAAAAAAAAATTTAAGAGACTTGTCCAAAATATAATCGAAACAAAACAAAATAATTTTAGAGACTTATCCAAAATATATTAGAAAGGAAAAAAAATAGAAGAACTTTAGAGACTTACAAAGTATGTTGTTGGAGCAAATGCAAATCCTCCGAAAAATCCAAGAAGAGCACCAAAGAAGGGGAAGGTAATGCCAACAAACATTGTGAATGCTGAATCACAATAATTATCGAATTATAATATAATATAAAGTTTATCCCGATGACAGACTTGTTGACATTCATCCATCAATATTATTAAGATACAAAGTTGAAATTAAAAAATGTGCTCACCAACATAAACATTGCGAACAATAAATCTTAGAAGTCGGGTCGGCTTGAAACGCAGTTTTTTTACCATTAGGGTCTCAATCATGTCAAAAACAGGCATTGCATACAACTATAAGGAAGCAAAATAAATTTCAGGAAAAACCGGCATTGTAGTGAGCGTCGAATGATATGGAAATTTGAATGGAAATTACCTGATAGCTTCCTATTACATGAATGACAACAAACATGTTAGCTGCGATAATAAGCCAAGTTGGTTTATTAAGAGAAATAAGAATATTATCAGCAACAGTATTGCCAAACATCCAATACCCAATAAGAGCAACGGGGAAATAGCACAAAGCTACAACAATATAAGCTAATAAAACTCCTCTCCACATCGGACCCTTAGATGGTTTCTCGGGCGTGGAAGGGAGTGTTGCTTGAATCTCCAATACGACATTGTGTCCCGCGTACGCAAATGCAACATCACCTAAAGCACTAAAGAAGTTGAAAACTGTTCCTGGTGAAGTAGTGGCTTTGTAGCCATATGCCACATCTTGTTGAACTCCCTTTTTCAATGAAGCCACCCATGCAATTGTTGAGTAACTTAAAGACATGATCGCCGCAGCCAAGGAGATACCAGCAATGGAGTTGAAATTCGGAAGATGGGCAAGAACAAAATGAACCGATGCAAATATCATGATGAAGTAAGTAGTTTTCATTGATTTACAATTTTTTCTACACACCAGATCATGGATTTTTTGTAGTGATTTTCCTCCTGTGACCATGTAAACTATGTCCACACCAACTTCACATATCAATTGTTGTGGCACCACAATCCAAAGTCCAAGCTTTTCTCCAAATGCTTCCTGTCCTAATTCATGGTATCTGTCAAATCTTTTTCCAGGGACCATTTCATGCATCTCAACCATTTGCCATAGTGTGTATAGAGTTATTATCCATGATAAAATCAGAATCACCACACCTGGACCCCTGTAATTCAACATTGTAAAACATAAGCCAACAAACATTCTCAATATCCACCAGATATCGGCTAAACTTTGAAACATCAACGAAACAAAATTCAAATCCTCTCATGGCCAATTACAAATTAATAATTATGTTTAAACTCAAACAATTTTAATTTCTCTCTCACATATTTACATTTAAAATTGATAACATGTATGACTATCACTCATAATATTAATCTGTCATGTTCCATAAAGATCAGGATCAACAAATTACTCGTTATTATAAGATGAACACATGAGTATAAATATATAAGAGAGATCAAAATTGTTTTAATTGAAGATAAATGGACTAGTTGTGTAAATAAGAAAAAATGCAAGACTAAACTATAATGAAGTGTATCATTTTTTTTTGTTGATGATATCCTTGTATCATTAATATCATTTTAATTAATAAATTTGATGGTCATTCTTTTTCTAATAAATGAAATGATACTTGTAAAAAATAATATATAAGTAGCATGAACTAATTAGATTAGATGGTCACCAATCACCACCAAGGTTTTAAATAACCGTGGTTTTAAAAAAATTCAGTTGGGACGGATGTTCAGACACCGATTGTGGTGGTCGTGTAGTGATTTAACCACAATTTATTCTTTACCATTAAATGGTGAATAATGTTATGGGTATAGGCACTTGTCCATACCATTTTATAAAACCTTGATGGTTGAGTTCACCTAAAGATTTTTGCAATTTCAATTAGGTGTTGCGACGCTAATTAGTAATTAGAAGTAGAAGAAGCAAGAACTTTTAAATTGGAAGGTTAATGGGTGATTGTTGGGTGATTTAAAATTGATATGATAGAAGAGTTTAGCATATACCATCCAAGATTTGCCATGGCAGATGGAAGGCTCAAGACACCAGCTCCAACCATAGCAGTGACATTGTGAAAAGCTGCGTACCACCATTTTGCATTCCTTGAAGAAGTTATGGGAAGCCAATCATCAATAGCTTTTTGATCAGCTGTTCTTTTATCTATCTGTAAAAAAAAGAAAAAAGTATATAGAAAAGAACGCGTATGTAGGAGTATGTAGTTAATTTAGTTTACCTCTGCTTCTGAGAAAGAAGTCTTTTCGGGCTCTGAGGAAGCAATTGGTTTTTCATTTTCCATAGTGTTTGTGAGAAAGAGAGCAAGTGTTGAAAGATTATATGATATGGTAGATGCATATAAGTGCTTCTGAAAGTGACTCTCAAGAAAAGTCCGTCCAAGTGTTGACGTATTCACACCCTTCAAGCCGGCAATTTTTGTCACTTACTATATAATAAGTAAACGTCATTATTATGCATTTATGCCAATTAAAACTTAGCTGGGAAACATGTAAGCAGCTTTCTACGTGATTTTATATGAGAAATTATCATGAATTTATAAACTTTAAGAATATGTTTAGGTTTAAGAGTAAAAATAGGGAGGTTCAATTGGTTTTGTTTGTAGAAAATTTTTCCCTGTGATTTTATTGAAGAATATAGGTAAAACGTTTCATAAACACTGTCTATTTTAGTCTTTTAACTATATTTTTTATTTAAATTGATTTCTTAATCTTTTTTTTTTATTATTTTGTTTCTTTAAATTTCAAAACGTTTTATATTAATTATTTTTGACTATTTAACGACTGATTTCAAAAATTTTCTATTATTAATTAAACAAAAATGAATAAAATAAAATATTTTAAAAGATAAAGTATCAAGGTGACAAAATTAAAATTAAAGAATCAATCTTCAAAAATATAATTAAAGGACTAAAATAAAAATTTTAACATAATTATAACATATATTTGAGAATATGTTCGATGTTTAGGAATAATAATAAGGATCTATGTAATTGTAATTAATAAATCAATTTTAACAAATTGATATATATGTTAAACTTTTAATTTTATTTATACAAATTATATTTTATTAAAAATATATATATGTTAAAATTTTAATGAGTTAATAAGATATAAAAAATCAATTTATAATTTAATCTTCATATAATTTGTTTATGATGTAAAGCGTGTTTTACATTTTTAAGTTAAATCTAAAAATATTATTTGCCATGTTTTAATTGAGTGAAACTTGTAAGGATGGATAATAATAAAGTGTTAAAGTTTTTATTATAATATTACCTATAGAGTTAGAATTTTGATTGCTAGAATAATATCAACTATTAATCCATTAAAATTATATATATATATATATATATATATATATATATATATATATATATATATATATATATATATATATATATATATATATATATATATATATATATATATATATATATATATATATATATATATATTAAAATTTGCTTAGAATTCAAAAAACTATTATATTTTAAAATAAGTTTTGTTATTAATAAATATTAAAAAAAAATTTAAAATATAATATTTTTAGTATTTATAAATATTAAATTTTATTTTTAAAGAAAGAATTAAGAACTTTAAGCAAATTTTACTATTTCTTAATTAAATAAAAAATAAGTAAATTTTAATTTTTGAAAACATTTTTACATCTATTAAAAGTATTAATATAGAATATGAATACTGATTAATATATATATATATATATATATATATATATATATATATATATATATATATATATATATATATATATATATATATATATATATATATATATATATATATATATATATATATATATATATATATATATATATATATATATATATATATATATATATATATATATATATATATATATATATATATATATATATATATATATATATATATATATATATATATATATATATATATATATATATATATATATATATATATATATATATATATATATATATATATATTAAAATAAATATTGCTTAGAGTTCAAAAAACTATTATAATTAAATATTAATAATTATTAAAAATAATATAACAAATCAATTTACTAATAAAAGTCATATGAGTTTATTTTAGTAATATTTCCTATATATAATATTTTAAATATTATTTTACTAACAAATTGATTTGTTATATTATTTTAGTAATAAATTGTTTTGTTATTGTTTTGGACTGGGCCGGTACTTGTCCCACCGTTGGGGAGGTTCAATCTAGTGCCCCTGCCTATGATCCAATAGTTTTAGGCCTAAGTCAAATTATCGTTGGAGATTTCTCTCACATGCCTATTAGAGAACATGTCCCTAATCATTATCAACCACCACCTGTCCTATGAGAATAACGGGTCCAAAGTCCCTATATTCTCGGAGCACTTTATCAGGGAGGGGGCACGTGTTGTACCCTATTAACCACGTAAATCTTGGCAGTCCTTGTTATTGAACCCAAATCACTTGGTCCACTACATGGATCTTGGCCCAACACTGGGAGCTATAAATACCCTCTCACACGAGAGGGTTAGGTATTCATTCATTCATTAATAAAACCTCACTTCTATTTCTTGCACTCTAATTGTCTAGACTCTTACTTTGACATCAGAGTATCTTGCAGGTACCCTCCTCCACTTCACATTTAACTGCTGCTTAACTTGAAGTTCGTGGGCATTGACGATCCCTTTTGATCAGGTACGATCAATGGCGCCGTCTGTGAGAATCTACTTCCCCATCTTTCACTAATTGAAGATCAAAGCAACTCTTTCTCAACCTTTGTCATGGCCGACCAAGCTATCAATAATGACCAGAACGTTCACTTCACTGACGCAAGCAACAACAACAACATTGTCGTCCCCAAGCAAGACCGCTGGGAGGGGATGAACGCATCTTCCTCCACCTGATCACAACCACGCGACGACGCCCACTATCCTTAGCAGAAATATGAGCCAACTGCGTATCAAGAGATCCCCGTTCCCGAAAACACTGACGCCACGACCAGAACCCTATTTGCGGCGATCAACCAGACGAATACATGATCTTCGCGTATGGTGAGCGCCTGATGATGCTCGAACAGACTCGGCGGTCCACCAGAAAGCATCGAAGACCTGATTCTTGAACTTCTCCTCCCCGACGGGACGAGGATCGCTCCTGATCTCCCCTGCAGAGACACCGACGGACGATTCTCAGAGCCTAACTCCCTGCCGTACTGGGCGAGGTTCTGCATTGGAGAGGATCCAACCTGAAGCTGTCAAGAAGCGCGATCACACCCCCCGCGCAAAGAACGGTTATCCGTGCACGGTAAAGAAACAGGGGAGAAAAAGAGAAGTCTCAGCCGAGGAACCCTCTCCATGGACCAAGATCGCCATAAACAAACACTGCTACTACCGGTCCCCCTCTCGCTCCCCAGAAAGAATCTATGAAGACGACCCCCCCCCCCCCCCCCCCCCCCCCCCCCCGTGGTCCGCTGCCCCAGGCCATCATGGAGGCCTCTATTCCTAAAGGGGATGGAGAAGTCACCCCTTATGAAGGAATACGACGACATTGCTGACCCCGTCGACCACCTTCGAAGCCATGCTTCACTATCACAACGTCGGGGCCCCATTAAATGCAGACGGTTCCATATGATGCTGAGGAAAATGACCATAGACTATCACAACATCGTGGAGGAATATAAAGAACCAATTCATCAGCAGCTTCACTGCATCTCGTTGGCACCCGAAGACTGAGGCCGCCCTCGAGGAAATTGTCCAAAAGAGTGATGAGACCCTCAGAGAATACATTGATTGGTTCAACCGCGAGGCTATTTAGGTTCCCTGCACCGATCACATAAAGAGATACTTTCTTGAGAGGGGACTCCTCCCAGGAACTGAATTTAGAAAGGTCGTCGGCATTAAGCCCCCTATGTCTTTTGATGCACTCCTCAAAAAAGTCTGGGCGTACATGGACTACTAAGAGAAAGAGGCCGCCAACAACGCTTGCGATTCGAGGAAACCGTAGACCAACTAACATCCCGCGACACAATGACGCGGGATCTTCTCGATGAAGAGGGGAGAATAGAAGGGAGGAGACAACTTGTGACCCCCGTGAGTATAGAGTACCAACTGGGCGGTTCACCAAATACACTCTGCTGACCGCTTCCCGCGAGCGTATCCTTATAGAGTGCTCCAATGTTGAGTTCAAGGACGGAGGGGTGAGATGTCTCAACCCACCCCTACAAAGCCCAGGGCCAACAAAATAAAGTACTGTCAGTATGACCGGAGCCATGGTCACCTGACCGAAAACTGTGTCCACCTGAAGGATGCCATCGAGACTCTCATCAAGGCAGAGAGGCTCCGGCAGTACAAGAGGAATGACGCCCCTCGCTGGGACACCCGAGAGGTTAAAGAAATTGGGGAGGATGTCCGATCATCCAATGACTCTAGTCCTCTCCAGGTATCCTTCTAAGTCTCAAGGCCCGAGGACTCCCATATCTCCAACAATCTTGAATATGATGAGCCTTTGTTCACCCACAACATATGGGAGAAGTTTCCCTCCGCCATGGTCATATCTGGAGAGGGATTCACTGACATCTCAGTAATTCAACGAAGAGGAAACTCAACGAGCTGGTGGATGTAGCCTCGATCCAGGCTGTAACCATTGAAAGATTCAAGGGAAAATATGAGTCGATCACCTTATATCTCGAGGAGTTACTCGACGAAGCCCCCAACTCCAGCATTCCTCTGCTGATGAGGGGCAAAGATGGTCAACTTTGATGCACATTATATCCTAGTCGAAGAGGGGATTTCCATCGATGTCATGTACACCCACCTGTTCTGCACTCTGCAGCTCGACGATACTCACGTCACCATACGTGGGGTCTGACCTTCAAGGATTTAACGCTTGGACCTCCAAGCCATGGGGCTACGTCGAGTTGTTCGTCACATTTGGAGAAGAAACTGCATCCCGATAGGTCAAAGTACGATTTCTAATAATCGATTGCCCGTCTCTCTACAACTGCATCTTGGGGAGACCAACACTGGCCGAGCTGACCGTCGTACCCTCCACGGTACATTTAAAGATGAAGTTCTACACCAAGAGGGCCTGCTTCACCACCCATCTATGGAGACATCTCAGCTGCCAGGAGATGTTTCAACGCGACTTCCAAAGGGAAAAACATGGTCGACATTGGGGCACGACCTACTAAAAGAGAAACCACCTCGACAACAGCGGCTACCTCGACGGACAAACCTGCTCGAGTTAAAGAACAACAAGCTCCACCAAAGGTCGACTTCATT